GGGGCAGACCAGTGAGTATGAGCTCTAGAGGTATAGGTAATTACAGGGTGGTTTTAAGTTAAACAGGTAAAAAAAAAAGTGTTATGCTTGGCTAAGAGGGTCACAAATATGCCGTCCTACTCATTTAGTATAGCACAGATTAGAAAACTGAAGGAAGGATGCACTAAATGGTCCAGTCTTCCTTAACTACAACATGAGCAGTGAGCTTAACAGAGGCTAATCTTTTGTCTTAACCTTGCAACTTTGTTTATACAAGAGTTATCAGGTACACCCTGTAAATTGCAGGGATTAGAGTGATCATATGAGACTAGAGCAATAAAATTTGACATTTCTTTATTTCTGGCTTCCACATCTGGACTCAGCTTAAAAAAAAAAACCACACCAAAACATCACAAACTAATAACTGGTGTACTCACAATATGTTTATTCTGTGAGTACTGTATGTGTGAATTAACTCTAACAATGATTTGTTATGCCAGCGCTAATTCAGGAGTGTTTAACAGTCTTTTCTTGGAAAAGACATGATTTTTTTTGTTGAAATGAGTCAGATGCTTTAAGTGAAACAACTCAACTTGGCAACTTACTAAAATTAGACCAGTATCTGTTACTATCAGCTAACAGGATAAAGTAACCACACATGATCTGTAGTTCAATTTGACTGATTCTAGGATGCACATAGTCAAAATTGAGCTGGTACTGTGATAATGTAGCTGCATAGCTGATATGAACCCTGGGCTTCTGGAGAGCATGGCAGCCTCTACTCTGCCCTGTTGGCATCACCAGCTAGTGGGGTTATTGGGGAACGGATCTGGCTAAAAATGAAGTTTTTACTTGGCTCCCTATCCGTTCACACAAGTTGCAAAGCTGGCCCATGTCAGGCCATTTTCACTGCTGGACAGGCATCTCTTTTTAAAATAGCTGAGCTGTGGTGTTTACGATCCAGTTTACAGGAAGCTGTTCCTAGTGACTTCTCTTACGTCCGACATGCAGAACTACTGTAAATAGCTGAGGCCTTTATAAATAAAGTCCTCTGTAGTTAGTGTGTAAGCACCATATAAAATCCTTTGTGATGTGTAATTGCTAAACATAACTAACATGGAATTCAGTCAAATCAGTATTAGAAAAAGCTTACAAAAACCTGACAGTATCTCCTTTTCTTCTTAAATTTGAGCTATAGGCTTTGGATGCTCCTTCCTTTGTTAGTAAATCTTAATGTTATGTACTAATGATACTGACTTTTATTTGCTCTTGTAACTTATACATAACTGTTAGAAGAAGGCTATCCTAATGTTGGTTGTACCTCCAGTGCCTCCTGATCTGCATCTTATCAGTTGTTGATGGACACTGCATTTTGAATATGAGGCTGATTGATCCATGACTTAACATGAAAAAGAATAAAATGTTGTTGTCTTGAAGTAACATGTCTGATGTATCTCCTGAGGTTAATTGTGCAGAGCATTACACCAGGATAATACCTGATAACTTATAGAATAACTTAAAAGAATAGGTCTAATTCCTGTGGTATTCTTATGTTGAAAAGAGTATAGTTACAAGTGGGTAAAATAACCTATCCATTCAGATAGTCTATATAACTTACTGTACTTACTTGTTCTTGGGTAAGGAGTATTTTCTGTGACTTATTATTGAAATGATGTGTAAATAGCAAAGGATGGAGATAACTTTTGTCCTTTTATTCAACGGGGATGTGTTAGACTGGATTTCCACTGGCAGCCTCAGCTGAAGGATGTATTTCCCATTCAGAAGCAGAATATTTATGAAGTACTTGCCTTTCTATGACTTCAGTTAAAACTTTCATTCACTGACAGTCCTGCTTTTTCCTTCCTTCCCCCCTACTAAATGGGATGGGACTGGAGTCATTGCGAACAGATGCAGTTTGTGCCCTTCCTTCAGAGCTGACGTGGCTGCTACCTTAGTGGGTGTTGTAGTGGCCTGCCACCTAAGCTTGTCCCATGGTGCCTACCTAGATCAGAATGTTGTAGAAGGAGGGGACATGTGCTGTTTCCTGCGGCTTGCAAGAAAACACCACATGTGAATTTAATGCTGCATGTCACCTGATTAAATCTCATGGATTTTTTGACTACTGCTTGTGACTGTCTGACCTTAAAGTGTCTTGTTCTTATATTCCCTTCAAGACATCACCTTAAGGAGCTACAGCAGCAGATGGTGAACATTCAAAGGGAGCACACCCATGGTAGTGGGTTTAGGAACTCTCAAAGGCCACCTGTTTTTTACAAGAGATAAGATAAGAGACTCTACCTCATTAACAGTATGATATGCCATCTGCCCTTTGCCACAAAATAGGAGATTCTAAGCTTTTTTATGAAAACTGATTTTAATGATTACTAAGATGACTTTGATAATGTTAGAAAAATGAAACAATGCTTCCTTAAATCCGTGGATGGCTTCAGACAAAGACTGGAAAACAGCAAGACTGGTGGTGGTTTCACTGCAAAGCATTCTCTCACAAATACCAAGCTAGCATGCATATTGTGGTAAAATAAGCCTTACCCTCTATGCATCTAATGGAGAAGTTGTCAGCAGAACTGGAGAAATTCACACAATGAACCTCTACAGCAAGGTTTCCTTAACAGTGAGAAACTTTGCAATTAGTTCCTTTCTCTCCTCCATTTATCTGCCACACTAACTTCCCTACTAGTCACTTGTACTTTTTCTTTCCCTCCGGAAGTATAGTGTCACACCTTGAAAATAGATCAGTAGCCCTCTCCCTTACCTGCTGTGTTGTTTGGTGGGTTGTGGGGTTTTTTGGTGGGGTTTTTTTTTTGTGTGTAGGGCCCCTTCAACCAGGCAGTATTAGAATACCTGGAGGTGGGGGCACAGAAAAAATGTAATTTATAGTTGGGAGGGCAGGAGCAGCTGAAGTTGGCACTGCCTTTGAGCAGACTGCCTGGATTACTGTTTCCTAACAGCAGTAATCAGACCTGCTGCTGTGCGCCTGTGGAAAACCTGTTCTTCCAGTTGTGCAGGTGCAGCACCTCCGTAACTGCCTTATTGTGCATGATTGGGTACGGCAAAGGCTGTTGCTCCCCCCATGGCAGGACCCTGCTGGCCAGCCACACACTCTAATGGAAATAATGCATAATTTAAGTATCAGATCCTCGTATTGCATTTCAAAGTAATTCAACCCAGTAGCTACACCAATTCTCTCTATGCGTGGTGGGTTTGCCAGTGCTTTTTGTAAAACATAAGGCATGTCACACACATGATTGTTTTTTTCTGTTTTTTCTTAATGTACAGAACTAGGAAGTGACAAGAGTCCAAAGGGTTTCTCAATTCACAAACCAGAAAATGTACTCACAGCCAACCATCTATCTAGTTTCTATTTTTTAAACCTCCCTAACTCTCAGTCTTTTTTTATAGACTAAAACTTTGGTGTGTTCCACAGATGCTGCATCAGCAACTATATAGCTGATATTAAAGGAATAAGTTATGAAAGAATTAAAACTAAATTCATTAAACTGAGTCTACTTATTTTAATCCTGTGGTGTGAGTGGAGAGGACAAATGCTTTTTAATACTCGTAAGCTTCCCATTACTGGGCTTACAGTTGCTAGCATTTCCTTCTAAAACTTGTTACAGTATTAATCTGCAACTTAGTGAGTCCAGACTCTCCACTTCACTACTTTTACTGAAGGAAGCATGTGTGTCTTTCAGCTTCCTAGTTTAGAGCTGTATAAACTTGACCTGCATACTCCTAGCAGTTGCAGAACAAAAACCCAGTTAGTCATTATGCAGGAAGCCCAAGACTTTAGTAAAGTCTTGCTCCACCTTAATACTGTAGTCTGCATCAGAATTTGCAAGTCCTGCAGGAATGGATTTATAGAGCAATAGAATTGGTGATGCAGCTATGTAGTCCTCACCGTATGGGACAGGGGTACTGGATCTCTTCTGCTTCTGTAGACTGAGTACCTGTTACTCATTAGAGGAAATCTTACAGTTTACCTTTTCAAAGAGGACTCTAGTGCAGGTACATTATGAGTAAAGATATTTGAGATTCCCTTCAAAATCTTGAACTGGATTTAAAATCTTTTTCTAGACGCTGTTTGCACCTGAAGGTGCTGGTCTGTTATGATCCCAGTAAGAAAGGCATTTGGATTCTGTAAAGCATCATTTAAAATGCTATTCATTAGAGCCAGCACTATAAAGAAACAGACAATAGCGTAGACAATCTTAGATCCCTGTAGATGCTAGGAACCCCAAGTTGTACAGCACTGAATGGGCCTCTGATCACACACAGCACACTGCAGACCTCATCTGTAGACAAGGTTATCCCATTTTGATAATTTAAGCTATTAGAGGATTTTTCCTTCAAGACAACAGGTCTACTCATCATTCCTACTGTCAAAGAGGGAGGATATTCACTGTTAGATTCAGGTGAGGACAGGCAGGTTGTGTAATTGCTGGTACCCAGTAGGAGCTGCCTCTGGCATCCCCTGTTTCAGTGAGCTTGCTGAGTTCATCCTGTGAACAGGGAGTTTGTGCAGCACAGCACAGGCCTGAAAGCCAGGCTGTGTGTGCATGCAGCACAGGCCTGCGCTCAGGTTAACTGTTACATGGATCACTAATGCTTCAGTGTGCAGTAGTCTTCTGGTCAGGATTACCACAATGCATCCAGAACTGGAACTGGCCAAAATTATCCCCTCTCTTCCCTGTCCCATGAACTGTCTCATGAACAGGGTCAGGATGCTCATGGTTTTTGTTTGGGGTTTTTTTTATCATCACAGAGCTTGAAATAACGTGACTATCTTTTCTTCCTGAAGTCTGACATGTAGAGAAGAGCTTTGCTGTCCAAAGATCTTGGGCACATTGTCTGTATGATAGATACTACTTAGTTCTCTTCTGTAGAGCATACAGAGTAATTATGAGTATGCACATGTAACAACAAACTGAGTCATAAAAACTTCACAGTTACGGATAAGACTGATGCTACTGATCTGCTCACTTGTTTTGTTTCCTGTGCAGAATCAAGGCCATTGAAAGTCCCAACAAAGATGACGACACACAGTGGCTGACTTACTGGGTTGTCTATGGTGTTTTCAGCATAGTGGAATTCTTCTCTGACATCTTTCTCTCCTGGTTCCCTTTCTACTACATGCTAAAGGTATGTTAGTTCACGCGACCCCTATCCTAAAACAAGACCTTTGATGTAACTGATATAATGTCTTCAAGAATGGATAGATGACAACAGATTCCCTTGGAATCATTCCTGGGTCATACCTTATTTTTAGACACTGCTTACATGTAATTTGGCACTGTGAAAGTGATCTGTTTACGACTGATGGTTTTGTGAGGCAAGAGGGGAAGTTGGGATGGGTTGCAGGGAAAGGTCTGCCATGTTTTAGGAAAAAAGAGGCGGCGTAGCTGTACTGTGGAAAGACAATCCTTTGTCTTGGTGTTCAGGTAAATTTGGGCAAAATGACATCACACGTGTCTTGGTTTTCAGCTGGGATAGAGTTAATTTTCATGAGAAGCTGGGAGGGGACACAGCCAGGACAGCTGACCCCAAGCACCAAAGAGGTATTCAATATATCACGCTCAGCATATAAGGGGAGGAGCTGGCTGGGGAGGAGGGGTTGCTGGTTGGGGATGGGCTGGGCACCGGATTACTGGCCATGAGCAAATTGCATTGTGTATCACCCGCTTTGTATATTCTAAGTACTGTTGTTGTTATTTCCCTCTCCCTTTGCTGTGCCAGTAAACCATCCTTATCCCAACCCAGGAGGTTTACCTTTTCTTCCCATTCTTCTCCCCATCCTGCTGTGGGAGGGGGAAGGGTGATCAAGCAGCCACCTGATGCGCAGCTGCCAGCTGGGGCTGAACCATGACAATATGGTAAACCATGCAGAGTGGCTCTATTTTCGCTTTAAGTGCGTTAGTGAAAGTGGAGAGTACAATCACAAAGGCAACAGAAGGAAGTATTAACGTCGGTGCTATTGGGAGCAAGGAAGGAGATGCAACGTAAGAATAGTTTGAATCATACAGACTTCATTTTAAATTAAGCCTACTTTCCTGAAAGAAAATGGCAGGTATCAGAGGAGCTTGTTGCTAATGTGCATTTGTTAGTGTGGTTTGCCTGCCAACAATGATTTGCTTAATGTGTTCCAAGCTTTGTTTGTCGACTAAGGTGTGAGTGTATTGTCAATCAACTTCAACACATTAAATTATTCTAGGAGAGAGACAATTACCATGTATGCTGTGGGGTAGAAGACATTCTGGCTTGCTGGAGAGTCAGTAGTTTAGCTTAAAGAACTGTTACCTGTTTTCTGCTTCAATGGGTTGTTCTGTTCCTTTTCTTTTGCTTTGTTAGCCTGGTTTAGCCCCGCGAAAGTTCTTGAAAGGATTTGCTTGCCAGCTATTCTGGTGGGATCATTTAAAATTTTAACGGTAAGGTTGTGATGTTGCCAAATGCTTTTTCCAGGAAATGCCATATTTTAAAGACAAAAATTGACTTGGACAGCTCGGTTACACTTCTGCATTGTTTCTTTTGCATCAGTAACAGGCATAAAATGTGCAACCATTTGGACACTTACTTCCCTAGCTCCCTAAGAAAAAAGCACATATATAAACTACTGCTTCAAACTAAAAATATTCTGACCCATCTCACAAAGTTAATTCTGTTCCTCCCCCTCTTCATTTTTTCCCTTAATCAAAAATGAAAAGATGTCTTCCGTTTTTAAGCTTAATGGTTTTACAAAGTGTTTAAGAATAATCTGCTAATTTTGAAGTTTAGCATGAGTAACACATACGTGAAAGTGTTACTGGTTTAATATATTAAGACCAAACCCAATGGTGATTAAAGTGCAAGTTCATCTGATCTGAATAGGATTCAAAAATGTTGCTTATGGCACTGGAAGAATCTGTTCTTAACCACTTACATGGTTATTTCACATCCCCAACATCACCTTACAGTTTAGCAGGATTATGACTTTACCAGTTGTCTGCAGTGACGTATGCTTACAGTTCTGAATTCATACAGTGTATTTTCAGAGCTTCTTTTATAACCTTCTGGTGGTAATACCTGTGGCAATGATTTCTTCGTGCCAGCACAGCACTCTTTTTGAAGAGTATGCAATTGAAATTCAAGTTAACCTAACAAATAAAGAACAACCACAGATGGCTCTGATAATACTGTATCAGAAGTGCCCCATTTACGTGTAGCAGTGTCATCAACAGAAAGGAACTTTTCTCAGTTCAGCAAAAGCAAACACAAGGAAGCAATTATGGTAAGTGCACAGGTTTGTATGATAGCTGCTGAAGGTGCATAGATGTCAAGTATTTACTCTGAGTAGTGGGTAGTGGGAGAGGTTTACTTTTGTGATACAAAGTATCAAGAATCAAAAAGCATTGCTGTCTGGGTGGAAGGATGGAAGCTACTCCATGTGTGGAAAAGGGGAAGCAGGCAGCTTCCAACTTTCAGTCCATTCATGACTAAAATCTCTTGTAGTGTAGGTTCTGGTGTCTCCATGTCTCTTTTATGATGTTATGAAAAAGAAGCCCAGATACGTAATTCATGCAAATTTCAAGCTCACTTTCATTTTCCAAATATGCTAAACTTGCATATGCACACTTATTTGATACAGCTTGTAGCTTCCACTCCAGGCTGAGTTTAGCTGCTCAGTATTTCAGTGTACCTTGACATGCAGGATTGAGGCACTGATCATAGTTACTGCCGTATTCCCCTTAGTCTAGAGCCTAGGCTCTGTCACTTTGAAGTTTTTAGCACACTAGGAGTTTTTATAGGTGGGAGAAAGGCGTGTTCAAGAATTCCTTGAATATGTTATGATATTTGCATATACTTTTGTTGTCCAGTTGAAAACTGTCTTGAGATTTAGTGGGGTTTGTGGGGTTTTTTTGTAATGCCTACTTTTTATTTATCTGCTTTTTTTTTCCTCTGAAGCACAGGATGTGCATACAACTCATGATTTCATGTGTATGTCATCTATTTTTCAATACTTCTGTTAATAATTTAAATTTTTTTTTTTGGCACTCAGGTATTAAAATACAATAGCCAGTGAAAGTAGGAGAGGTTATCATCCTGGGAATATTGGTAGTGGGGAGGAGCGGAGACGAGACTCCTGACTCTACTAACAGTTCTGTCTTGAACTGTTAGAATACTATGTCTGAACAGAATTCCTAGCGGACACGTCGCACTGGGTGCATTATGCAAACTGCTGCTGCAAGGCACTCGGAGGAAGCAGGAGGAGTTGCCATTGTGAGTGTAGCAATGTGCCAAATGTGGCAGTCTGACTCTGCTTCAAGACAGAGATAGATCCCCTCCTCTCGCCCATGCACCCCATGATTTAGACTAAAGAGCTACTTCACTTCTGTTATAATGAACACCTTGTTTTAATGACTGCAGTTCTCTCTTAAGAGTGTGTTCATATATGCAGTCACATGAGCCGTTCTTGGGTTTTGATAATCTTCTGTCTGTAGAAGCTTGGGACTGTCCATGGGCATGCTTGCTGTGTTTCTCAGCTGCTAGCACCAGAGCCAAGTGAGTTAGGCCAGGCTGAGGTGTCTGCCTAAAGAAGTCACTCTGTTGCACAGATTCCGTTCCCTCCTCTGGCTGGTCAGGAGAGTCACAAAGAATATAGTAATTTTTTTTCCTAGTTAACAATGTTATCACTCTGAGCTTTCTGGACCTTTTTACAAACCACTTTATTTTTAATATTCTGTTAGTTCAGTGTCACGAGAGACGAGGGAAAAATAAACTAAATTAGCAGTCTGACTTTCTCAAGCTTTGAAAAGACTGAGATTTTCAACTTTGATATGTGTCCTCTAGAAAATATATATAAACATCTCAGTACATTTCAAAAGTAATAGGTATTTGAGTGTATGACTATAACTGTGAAAGATTTTATTTATTTCTTGACTAGCTGTAAAATCAAAATGACTAATTTTGTTCTGAGGCAAGAAAAGAAGAATTTCAATTTCTTCTAGTTTCAGAGGAAGTCGGACTTACAGCTGAGGGATTTCTTAAAACAGAGAACAAAGTAACATTTGTATATTGGGACAAATAAAATAACTATCAGTAATTGGCCAGGTATTGATTTTATTTCCTGTTAAAGAATATACGTCTCAGCTTTTAATGAAAAATAACAACATAAGATAATACCATGTATTGTTTCTGTTATATTAAGTTCCAAATAATAGAAGTTTTTGAAAATTGTTATTCCATCACTTTTGTCTTTTTTCTCTGACCATGCTTAATGATGCTACATCAGCTGCTACTTATTAGTGCCAAATTTTATTTATTGCGTGCTTAATTATTTCTTTTAATTCATTGAAATGTTCCTAGTATTCATTCTCACTGGTGGATGCTTTACTTTGAAAGACCTTTCTTTGTCTTCTGGGCAAAAACTCCTTTGAGTCATTCTGGTTTGACACCATGATCAAATAGTTTAAAGAAGAAAGCTTAAATCTTACCTAAAAGCATGGTAAATTGGTTTGGCAAAATCATCTGTAGAAGGCACTTGTTATCCCCAGGAATCAGTAATCCTTTTTGAAGAGACAGCCTGTCATGCTACCTCTATAGCTCCAAATACATTGTGACTGACTTTCTCTTAGGGCAAGGGGAATGAGAAGTGGCCTTAAAAAATTAGTAGAAATCTTCTCCAAAACCAGTAGGTATTTTCTTCAGCTGATGTGTGTCAGAGGGATCAGTGTTACTGTGATGTGCACTGCAGTGAAGACAAAGCCAAAATTTTACAGGTATGAAGATCAGAACCTACAGAACATTCAGTCTCAGGAATCTGAGGAAGAATAGAGGGGAGATATACCAAAATATGTGGAAGGCTTGCCTGAAGAAGACTGTGTGGGTTTCATAATTGAAAAAGGATTTTATTCTCTTTTTTCTTTCCTTTTTGTTAAACTTAAATCAGAACCTTTCTTTTAAAATATTCACTCTTGACTTAAATCACCTTGTAATGGTCAAATTGTTAGTTAGGAGTTTCTTATGTAATACCAAAACAAATATTTGGGTGTGGTTCTGTCTTTTCAGTTTTACAGTGGGAAATCAAAAATATGAGGGGAAGGAGAGGAGACAGAAATGTGTGGCTAGGCACAGTGGAAATTTGAAAGGATACTGTGATCGAACTAGTTCCTTGGAAATGCTTTTGCACTATGCAGTGTACTGGAAACCTCATAAATAAATAACTTTGCTTATATTTTTTAAGTTATGTTCAGAAGTTCTAGCACATGTATTGAAACATTTTTTTGGCTGCTGTTAACACTGCTGTGAAAGCTGGAAAACTTCTGAAATCTAAGCTATTTAAAGCTTCTATTTTCAGCTTCTGAAATCTAAGCTAAGTGCTACTGTGTTTAAAGGCAGGCTTTGAAGTTGCTTATGGGTTTATTGTAGTTTAAGTGATTAGTTTGATTTTTGGTGTCTAACTTAGCTAATTGTGTGGTGGTGGTTTTTTTTTTTCAAGAGGAAGAGTTGAGTTTTGTTGTTGTGTTTTCTCCCTTTGTCCCTCTTGTCCCAAAAATGTGTGGAAATCCTCAAACATTTAATCATGTCTGACATCAAAACAAAGCACATTTTGGCTGGGGCTGGTGTGGTTTTGTTTTGTATTTTAAGAAAAGGTGATCTGTGAAAAGCTGGTCTGCCATTATTTTCTGGAGAGGCTTCTGACATGGAATAGTATTATACTACTTGTGTCTGGAAAGAACTGTACAATTGTTGAGAAAATTTGTTTAATTTTTTTGCGGTTTTATGTTGTAAAATCTTTTTATCTATACTTTCAGAGCTCAAGCAAATTCAGTTATGGCACTTCCTGTCCCTTAAATGTTTTGGTCTTGTTTTGCATAACTCTCTGTATTGTATATGACAGTGGAACTGAAGCAAATAAAGGCACTTCAGTAATAAAGTAGTAAAGACAGATATTTGTAATACATGTGGTAGCTGTCTTTCCAATCCTCTTTGTAAGATGCAGAAATATGGCCCCACGCACAGTGGTGTTTGGGTTTACTTTTTTCCCAGAGAGCAGATTGTGCTATAAAAGCTATACCTAAACTGTGCAATCCAAAAGTATTACCCTTGTCCGTGCACTTTGTGTAGCTTGGATATATCTTACCTCCTAGTCACTTTACCTCTGGGATGCACACAATTCTCTTCTTCCCCTGCTGCACTTTCAAAGCAGGGAGGCAGAGAGGACAGGGATATGTTTTGGCTGGATTTAAGTGATTTGGGGACCTAGACCATCAGTCAGGCCTGTCCACGTAGTTTATAAGCAGCCGGAGGTGCCGATGTTTTGTCTAATCAGTTTTTATACTTCTACCTTTAGAAAAAAAAAGTACTTGCAATCTTGACGTACCTGTTGCCAGATTAGCTTTACTGCTGCAGCCGTCCTCCTTTATCCTGTCAGTATCCATGAAATCATAAAGATTCACTGCATGTAACTACACTGATGTGTATACTTATTGGACTGTGACCATACAAAATGAAGGGGATGATGTACTGTTTTAAATATGCTCAAGTCTGTAGCATGGTTAGGAAGGCATGCTACACCTTGTCTCCTCATTTCTTCTACTTATACAGTTGTTCTTGTTCCTTGTAGTGTGGCTTCCTGCTGTGGTGCATGGCTCCAAGTCCTTCTAATGGGGCTGAGTTTCTCTACCATCGAATTATCCGGCCTTTCTTCCTGAAGCACGAAGCTCAGCTCGACAGTGTTGTTAAAGACCTGAAAGACAAGGCTGCAGAGACTGCAGATACCATCACTAAAGAAGGTGAGGAAAAGACCATTCACTAGTCACATCAAGTAGAAGGAATTTCCCTGGGCAACTCTAATATTACAGTTAATATTCATCATTTTGGGTGGAAAAATTGTAAGAAGGCTACGTAAATGATAATGGAGATGATAAATTTAGGTGCAGATGCTAGGAAAAGAGGATTACAGTGGATCTTACTTTCTAGGAGTGCAGTTATGCTAGACTGAGTGCAAGCTGTATGAGTGGAAGAAACAGCCAATTAGTTTGTGTGTCTCCCCACCATGCATATCACTATAAACACTCTAGAGGCTGGTCCAAACACCCTCACAAGATACCTTCCAAAAATACAGTTACTGTTTCGGTGTATTCTTGTATCTCCTAAAATACCATCTCAAATATCTGGTAGTATAGAAGGGCTGCCAATTGTGTGGTAAAGCAGATCCTTTAACTCTGATAAACTGCAGCATGTGAAATGAAGTTTTCCTGTCTACAAGTTTTTGTAGTTTTCCTTCCTTTGGCAATCAAAGGATTATGAGCCTACTCTGAAAGCAATTACTTATGTTTTTATTTGGTTAGAATACATTTTATCACAGCCTGTAGATTGCTTAATTTTTGCTTTTATTTCCTTGCATTCTGTAGTGGGCCCTCGTAGTCTAAAATACCTGCTGATAATTTTATGAATGACAGAAGGATTATTAAGTAGCTAAAATAAAAGTTTATTTACATTTTATTTGAGAGGATATTTATTTATAAGATATTTCAAAGCACCTTAAGTCTCTTTTCCTCCAAGCAATGCTTGCAGTCTCATTTCCTCTTACCAACTTTAGCAGTTTTCTGTGGTATTTAAATGATCTGCCTTTCTCAACTATGCTTAGAAATTTAGCTGCATGGCCCTTCCTGAATCATTATTAGGCAGGTATCTTAAATAATGTTCTCCTGTGTTGCACATTGGATTTTTATGTCCTCACTACATCACTTACTCTTTCTTTTTCCTATTTTTACATAGATTTCCACATACATATATTTTTTTAAGAAATCACGCACACACATATGCATGCACACACACATTAGCATTATTCCAGCCCTATTTCGTCAGCTTGGTAGTATATTTCTTGCTATAAACCTGTATGTCTTAAACACTGTGAGCAGCTGTATTTTATTGATATAATAGTTATAAGTCAGTCTGTGCTGTTTATTGTGCTGCTCCTTGCTTATGGTTTATTTTTTAAAGTCTTTACTTGATCAGTTTTATCACTGTGTTTGTGTGTATGTGTATACAAAAACTGTGATTTTCTTTTGTGATGTTTCTTTTGTGACCTAAAAGGAAATATTTTTTTTTTGTGCACCTCAGGAGCTGAATAAGCCACTTAGTTTGTAGGCCTTTAAGATTAAACTTGCTTTTATTTTCCTGCAGCCAAGAAAGCAACAGTGAACTTACTGGGTGAAGAAAAGAAGAGCACTTAAGCTATTAACTGGATAAAGTTTCCCTAGCACCTCCTTTATGAAGCTTGATGTTACTGGGAACTGTGGTATAATTTTAAGAATATTGCCTTGGAAACATTTTGATATATGAAAGGAATGTGTTGTAAGTTTGCTTACTACTTTGCTGTGTCTGTATAGAAAATAAGCATTTTTATTTAAAAGCCATGCAGTGGGCAGCATCTGAAGCTTAATGAAAATACTTTATTCATCTTCATGCAGAAGAAATCTTTCAGTAATCTCTTTCTGCAGTAAGAAATCAACAGTATATATCCCACAGGCTCTGCACTTTAGTTGTCTCTATGTATGTAACTACTCTTGACGCTTTGGTGCATCTGGTAACATGATGCTAGTGTATAACAAAAATACTAGTCTGAATGAATCTTTTTGAATATAGAGGGAATTATTGTGAGAGATGGCATAACAGATGTATTCTCCACCAATGAAGTTGTAAATCATCAAATTACATGTTTTAGGCACCTGATGATAGAGACTATTCACTGTTGCATGTTTTGCTGTAACACAGTATTTGGTACAGTGTGTGTATTCTTAAATGGATAGATACTAAATATAGAAAAGAGTAACTTCATTCAAGTGATGAACCGTATATTATCATGAAGTAATCTGCCAGAAATGGATGCATTGAATTGCACAAGATTAGCACAAGATGGCTAAAGTACAGCTCCTTGCCTCTTCTTGCTAAATAAAGTTGTCATCTAAAATTGTTGAGTGCCTTTTAAGATCACACTCAGAAGCACAAGACACCTTTTGCTAAGGAGTGATGCAATTACAAACAATTTTTCCTACAGTCCTCTTGAAATATTAACTGCCTTGGGTGTCAGTCCCCAGAACTACATCATTAATGGGATGGCTGCAAGCTCCTATGAGCTTTTTCTGCTTATAAAAATCTGCAGTCTCTTCTGGTTGTACTCAGAACAATTTTGCATGAGTACTGAAACTTCCCGAATAGAGATGCTGTTGTCTTTGATATATTCCTGACCAATCAGTAAGTATGCAACCAAAGTTGTTAAAAGAATAAAGGCTCTTTTGCAATCAGTGGAAAAGAATATTAATTTTTTTTTTTAGATCTGAATCTGTAGTTACTCTTTCACACCACAGTATTTTCAACAAATTCAGCATGGATTACTGAAATCTCCCTGTTCTCATCTCTAAACTGATGTTTCTTTAAAGCCTACAGTAACGCTATGACAGTTCTTAACTGTCAGAACATGCAGAAGGTAAGCTTAAGCTTTTGAAATGACAAAAAGTCAATTCTGGTCCACAATCTGAAGTTCAAAAGATTTAATCTTAAAATAGACTTTTGAAAACTTTTGGCTTTCTGCAATAAGTTGGTATATAAACAATTTTCAGATGCAAGGACTGCAAAAGATTGCAACACAGCGCAACTCAGCAGGTCAGTTTTAAATTTTAGCAATATGTACTATAAGAAGAGATGGAAAAGTATATTAAGAGAAGGCATTTTAAGCTTTAAGCTGGTAAACACAGCCCTTACAGCTGTCATCTTGGATAGGGAAATGTGAGACCCACTGTGCATCATTTTCTGAATGAAAAAATGTAAAATATAACAGCTAGTCATTCCATGACAGCTTTTTTTGTTATGAGTGGATGTGCTGAAGTGGATAAAGTTCATAGCAAAGTTGTAGATGCAAGCAAGTAAAAAGTTTGAAGTGACTCACTATTTCAGTGGTGTAATTTCTGGTCTTATCTTCCTCTGTCTTAAACCCACTGAGCTTCTCCATAAGATGTACCAAATCCTAGTGCTGTGTTTTAAACACTGTCAGCTGTGTATATAGCAATCATGTGGCCAGTGTAATTTAGTTTCACCTCTTGAAATAATAAGTAATAAAGATGCTTTATAGTCTATTTGATTTAGGTACAAAGTACTACATAACTTCTCTAAAAGCTGCTGATAAATCTTAGACTTTCCAAGGCTAATGAGGTCTTGTAGTAGAGACAGAACTTACTTTTCATTTGTCATACTACTCAACAGTTCTTCCACTGTTATTAATGGGGATAAAACATTTCTAGGTAACTGTTAAAACATTCTCAAACGTCTCTCTTAGAACTTACAGGCTTTAAATCAACTTCTTGTCTTTACAACTTGATGTTTCTTGACCAGCAGCTAAATTCAGTCCTCCTCTGTCAGATTTCTACTTGAAGTACCATCTGTTGTTAACAGAACTTAATCTTACTGTTTGCCTTGATGCAAGTAGAAATGACTGATTTTCTGCAGCAAATTATCCTTTTCTGCCAGTACCTCCACTGGGCTGGCCCTACAGATCAGTGCTGTTCTCAAAGTCTTCTTCATAATGTTTATTTGCAAATGTTGGTACACACGTCTACTCCGTGTCTGTGCTGAAGCTGTAATGTGCTAAATAAAAATGGACACAAATAAAGAGATTCTTACAGGACTGGTATGATGCCTCAGTATTTCTTAAGAACCCTGTACCTTAACACTGAAAACCTGATCACTTTTAGAAGGCAGAAGGTCTTTACAGGATTTTAACTTTTTTTAGCCCAAACTTCATTACTTTGGAACTAGTAGAAACCCCTCTAAAAGCCTGAAGGAAGTACTTCTGCTTCATGACTGGATCTCAGGATGCAACCAAACTGTTTGAGAGCATCAGGCCATAACAGAAGAGTTTGGAATACAGATCTGTTCTTAACAGTGAGCACCTTGAGCAGCTGCCTATGCAGTGCAGCTTTCTAGACTTCATAGTGTTGCTTACCTAAGGAATCATCAAGGTTTAGTCTTCTTTAGAAACATAGAAAGGAAAAATGGTAAACTACAGGGATTTCAAAGTTTCTTCCTTGCCCGTTCGTTTTTCTAGTGTTCCATAAATGACCTAAACAAACAATGCTGCATAGTTATTGGCAGGGAGGGAACTGACACAAGTATTTCTGCTACCACTGTAAGTAGGTGTCCCAGTGTTAGTTGAGATAGAGTTACTTTTCGTCATAGCAATTGGTATGGGCGTGTGGTTTGGATTTGTGCTGAAAACAGTGTTGATAACACAGAGATGTTCTTGTTACTGCTGAGCAGTGCTTACACAGAGCCAAGGCCTTTGCTGCTCCTCACACCACCCCACCAGTGAGGAGGCTGGGGGTGCACAAGGAGTTGGGAGGGGACACAGCCGGGACAGCTGACCCCAACTGCCCACAGGGATATTCCATACCATGTGGTGTCATGCTCAGCATATACAGGGCTGGAATAAGAGGAAGGACAGGGGGCAGCAGTGTTTGGAGTGATGGTGTTTGTTTTCCCAAGTCACCGTTAGGTGTGCTGGAGCCCTGCTTTCCTGGAGATGGCTGAACACCTGCCTGCCCATGGGAAGTGGGGAATGAATTCCTTGTCTTGCTTTGCTTGTGCGTGTGGCTTTTGCTTTACCTGTTAAACTGTCTTTACCTCAACCCAGGAGTTTTCTCACTTTCACTCTTCTGATTTTCTCCCCCATCCCACCAGGGTGGAGTGAGTGAGCAGCTGCATGGGGCTTAGCTGCTGGCTGGGGCAAAACCATGACAGTAGGACGTTTCTTCTGCTTTATCTTACACGTTACCAAATTCAGCAAAAAGGAAAAAAAGAGTTCAGAAAAATATTTTTTAAAAAAAGCACAATGATAATATCAACAGTAGTGATAATAAACTGAAACTGAATTCTTCAATGCAAGATAGTTAACAAAGAATAGAAATTCTTGTAAGTGGTGGAATATGTGACTAATATTTGTCAGGTCAAGCTCACAACTTTTTTTTGATTTGACAAATCTAAGGAAGTGTCTTGAGTTTGCATTCTGGTCTTGTCAACTCTGTTTAGTCTGAGAATCAACACAAAAATATTATGACTAATTCCTTAGTCACCTTCCACCTCCATTTCAAACTCAACCAACAATAACTTCCTTATGCAAAGGAAGAAGTACAGAGTTTTAAAAACCGAAAGATTCTTGTAGGTCATGAGAGACTGTCAGTGTTTCCTGTGAACTGCATGTTTGGCAGCCATGCAGATACAGTGAACATCAGTCTGGTTTTCCCAGAGAACTGCCACATCCAATGTGATGGAATGAAACAGTACGTGAGGAATAACAACCTAGGGCCACTAAGGGAGTCCTCAGTTGTACAACCATGCTGACATAACTTTCCGAAGAACAGATTTCCTACTGGTACATAACATACTAAGATATTCTGGAGCAAAACATCTTCAGATGACCGTATCAACTAGCCAAGTAAAAGAATTGAAGATGAAGTTTTCTAAATTTTGCATCTTTTGGAAGGACATGTAGTTGATTCCTTTACTGAGGCTGTGGAATTGCACAAAACAACTAACACTGTATATACCTACCATTTTGTATTATTGCATTCTTGCAGGAGGAGAATTCTTAAAGCCTTCAATTAAACATGTCTTAAGTTCTGCTGTCTGGGGGGGGGAACGACACAGGACACCACAAACAAACACACACACCCCCAAATCTCGCTGGAGGGGGAAAAAAAAGACACATACTATTTCACAAGAGTAGCACTATGGTGCAGGCTACTCAGTTCCTACCTGGAGTGTCCCATGCTCTCTCCCAGATCCCATACTATCAATGATGTCAGTTTCCTCCCATCTCCCTCACACTAGCCACTGCAGTATATGCAATTCTCCCACCTTTTCAGGGCCTTTAGCAAAAGGCAGCTCATTTGGTAGCTGTGTTACCAGATCTAATCTGTACCTAATCTGCAGCTGCAGGTGTGCTGACTGAACACTCAACGTATTAAATGCAGTTTGGTCAGAGCAAACTGCCAGCCAAAAAGTATAAACATTCATTGCCCTTGCCTTTCCTTGTCCCATCCGGGACATAGAAAGGTTCTTCACTATGTGATGCATTACCATAGTCTTATCTCTTAATCTGACCACTTTTTTAGCTTCAAGACTTAGAGGAACGTACTTACTATCTTTAAGACGATGACTCTTTTTTATCATGTCAACTCGACAGGCTCAGGAGTTATAAAGCAATAGATGAACAAACTATTTGTCTAAAGTCTTTTTTCTTTAGGGGAAAAAAAACTTCTTTGAAAAGTGAAGTTATTTTATCCTAAGAGATGAAATAACCCCATAAAGGGCAGTCTGTAGCAGGAAGAAGATAAATAATGGACCCAGTGAAAGGATGCATGGGTATGGTTCAAAGCTGCGCCAGGGGAGGTTCAGACTGGGCATTAGGAAGCACTTCTTTAATGAAAGGGTGGTCAAACGCTGGAACAGGCTTTCTTAGAGAGGTGATCAATGCCCCAAGTCA